ACTGGAAACAAAAAGCGTGTTCACCGATACGAAAACACTCGTGTCTGATAATTATGATTGAGTGTTCGCTCGATTTATCCATTCCCGGTGCAGAGTATTCGGATAACGGATGACTTGTCGATTCCATCACACTTAAGTGCCGTGAACAAATGTTGTAGAAAATTAAGCGACGGTGCGTGCTTTGGGACCATACGAGGAGGGTCACCAAGCCGCAGACATTTTTAGGGATATTCCGCCTTTTATTTTCTGCGTGAAAAGTTGTCTTTTTATGCGTTTCCCTAATAGGAACGTTTTTCTGTTACAAAAACGAGGTTCCGAATTATTATCTAGTTTGTTTATTTGCTCAGCAAGAACAATTAAACATCATGAGAAAATACAAATTAAAATAATAAATAATTAAGTTAACTAATTTATTAATTTATTTAATGATTGCTCAATTAATCAAATAATTTTAATACCCAAAATAGATTGTGATGTTTTCAGATTCACAAACGAAGTGGTGGATGAAAGGATAATTTCGTGTAATTTAGTGATATATGAATTACAATGGAGAACATGACTCGACCCTATCAATGATATATAGTTTCCCATAATAACAAAATTAACCAGTCCAGAATATTCCGTCTCTACGGATCATCAAAAAACTGTTATAATTCCTGCGTAGATTGCATCAAAATTAATTATTTCGGAGCGGAAGGCCACTAAACGAATATTCGAAACAACGTAAATTAAAGATTAAGTCTTCTCGACGGCTTTTCAATGATTAAATGCGATAAACCTGTTAAGAATTTAAAGTAGTTTACTGAACTACTACGAATACTTGTTACAGTATAAACGTAAATCTGAGAAATCGCAACTAAGAATCTATAATTCGCAAATAAGAATCTATTTTCTAAAAGGCAAATATTTATTTATAATGTCTGTTGTCTACCACACTTGTTGGCTTGCATTGCCAACCATTAAAACGCGGGCTACGGTTACCTCACTTACCATGTACAATACATGTTCCTAAAAATGTACGTTTCTGTCTTTTAAAAATGTACCATGAAAACCAATTAAATGGTCCCCGTGTTGGAATTGTAACAAATGAATGCGCAAACCGTACAGTCTAGCGGATCGTTTCGAATGGATCGCTTCGTGTATCAGATCAGGTGGGCATTATGAGAAATTTACTAGCTGATATAAACATCATAATATACATATTTTGCGTTTATAAGTTATGAAAGATATCTATGAAGAAAATATGTCATTTTATGATTGATTTGAAAAAATATTGAATTTCAATTCAAAAAATGGAAATACATTGAGTTTTAACTATGAAATATGACCTCAATGGCTCAATAAATTCCCATAGGTAAAAATTAAGGTCTGTTTTCGATATGAATTTACCTTGTAGCTAATTTATTTCTTTGTGAGCATAAGTGTATAACCAAGTATTGATAGCATAGGGTTATCATTTTTGACGCATGGTTTTTATTAATCATTGTATTAGTTTAACTGTTTTATCATATTTCTGTATTTATTTAAACAAAATAAAGTAATTTGATGTGTTGTGAAATTTGTGCGGAATGTGGGAGTGACATAATACTTGAATTTTGTTGATGCAGTCCTGATTTTTAATTTAATAATTCATATATCTTATTCCTGTTTACTTTAAAAATAAAAAAAAAATCCAACATTAGTGCTAGTTATTTGTGCCATGTGTGCAACATTACAATACCATATCAACCAATAACGAGATCTAGATGAGACAATTTTAATTTACAAAAAGTACTTTAAAATTAACAGACTCTTCTGTTCGACTGAACTGTTCGACTCAATATGAATTCAATTAAAACCATCCCATCTCTTTCGGCGGTTCATTCGTTTCCATTTCGCTGAAGACTGACAGCGAATAGAGCAAAGGTGCGGATTGTCTGGCTGAATTCCCAAGCTTTAATTAATGAAGGAAGATTGAAATTCTTCTTTGTATTCCAGTTGTTAACTCGTTGCTTCAATAAAGAAGGCGGCACTATGAAAGGTAAGTGGAATTTAAACCTAGTTCTTACTTCCGTCTCTAGTATTTAATTTATGATTAAGTTTATACCCTTTTCATGTAATCTGTTTAAGATACATAAAACAATTTTTTTTCAAAAATGCAAAAGTCATATAGGCAGCTGTTTTCACTAAAACAACCTTGAAATGGGAAATGCTGCCAACTATAGTTGTCGATATGAAATCATTATTGACTGTCATCAAATAAAATGTATGTTAATTAACTTAGATACGAGCCAATATTTAACCTAAATTCTTTATAATGGGGAAACAGTTGTAAAATTCTTATTACAAATATCCAAATTTAAGTTATCCTTAACGATTTTAAAATATTTCCTTATTAAAAATGTGCCATCTCCATTCGAGTGCAGACTGGATTGATATATTTAAACGAGGGTGTCATCAATTTCCTTCAGAAGACGTTTACCTCACTCCGAAATGGATATTTGACTCTCCATTAAATTGAAATGCCCTTACTTTACCGTTAGAATTCACTTACTCTTAATATAAATGTTGTCTCTCCTAAGAGACCTTCTAAATGGCTCTCCAGTCTTAATGTGCGATAAAATCCGTAATATTGTTTCATATAACCATGTATAATGTTTGCGTAAAAACAAGCGATCAATAAACATATTGTGTTTGTTAGTTTTTTAAGTATTTTATAATAATGTTCTCCAAATTGGGACCGTACCATATTCATTGTATCTGCAACTCCACCTTTACAATTTCGAAAGGTACTAGGCCAGTTTGATAATTGGATGCTGAAATGATGGACAATTTGATTTATTTCGCATCAGGAACGTCCACAGTATACTAACGTACGTAAGCGTGCCCATGGTAATTTCATAATTGGGAAATTCAGCGAATCGCAGGCTCATACCGTAAGGAATTCACTTCGGATAGTTCGGTCTACTGATATATAACATGTTGCTTATTAACGTGTTTGCAAGTCGCTTAAATTAAGCTTGAATTTGGAGCAAAGGGCATGTAATTCTCATTCAATTTATAGAACATAGAATATGTTCGCGATGCACAACGCTATCGCCCTTAAGTGCGATTTTAAAAAAGATTCCTGCGTAATGAGCGACGAGCAAGGGTCGACACCAATGAAATTATTAATTTTAAGTGCTGACTTTCCACATGCTCAGCGGTGAAGGAAAATATCGTGAGAGACTTAAATATTTTCGACATAATAACACATACAAATATTTCGAACATATGTGAAGACCACCAATCGGCAGTGGCACATCGTGGACTATGCTCTGTACAGAGGATACCTTTTCGAAGCAGTGAAATATGAAATAGGCTGTTGGTTTACATACGTATGTAGTCAACATTGTTACTATCTTGATATAGTGTGGACCACCATATCCCGAGGGGTATGATTTGGTTACTGACCTCTTCCTAATAACACACACCTCATCTTCCTAATAAAATAGTTTTGTACCGCCGCTTCGTCTTCATTTTTTCTTCGCTGACTTCGTCATGTGGCTTGCAGGATTGGTGAACTTTCAAACTTTTAAATCTAGAAGTTTCCTTGTGCCGTATTTCTTCCTTTAGATCTGAGCTGCATTTAACAATTTCTTTTGCGCCAGTGTCGACATTTGTTTTATTTATGTGAACAGGTTCCAAGCGAGTAGATGATTCACGTAATGTTAATTGATTCTCACCGCACATGGACATCTACAGCACCGGGTTGCAGATGCGTTGCGAAAACGTGAGCCCCAGTTACTTCACTCACTAGAGAGAATGCGAAACTATAATAAATACTTCCACTTTACGGTATTAAGTGAGGCCGTTGTACTTCAACGGAGGCGCCTGCCCATTCTTGCTACAGTAGAAGCCGCACACACCCCTTAGCTTGCCCTACCACAGAAGACTGAAATAAAAACTAGCTCCCCTCTCGTTATTTACTCCAATATCAAATAAAGAATGCAACATAAAGAATGACTCAAGTAGATGTCGTTTCAGCTGCGTTCGTTTATGATTTAAAAGTCTTATTAATAACATATAATTATTATTTTAGGCATTGGCTCTTTATTACAGTCGGATATCTAAAGATAACAAGTGAAGTGCAATACTAAAACGCAATATTATAATTTTAAAAATATTTAATCATATCTTACATCTCCTTTGTATCTAAATACAATATTTACAAAACTTAAAATTTTTAATCGCCTACTTAAGTTTACCTTACTTATAATATCGTCACAATATAATAATTATTATTTCATCCCTACAGAACTATGTCCGTTACAATTTTTCGTAAAACGCGTCGGCAGTACAAAGGGCAGTGTATTAGCTGATTTGAGTATTTATTACAAAACAGAGTTCCGAAATCTTAAGTTACAACCTAATTAATATTATAAAAGTCCCAAGTGTACACAATTTTGTCAATTTAAATAATGAATGAAATAAATAAATCATTGGCAGAAATTGCGTCTTAATTTTCCTTCTTTTTTAATTTCCATGTCATTTTAACTTTCTTGTTTTTGTTTCAACAAATTTACAAAGTCGTATTGTGCACCTTTGGGAGAGAATGAGTATCGACTAAAACATAATTTAGTAAGTAATAAATCTAATTATAACTTCACCGATAGTATTACATTTACATTATATCACACGTATCCCATCCTTTGTCAAACAAATATTTCTATAAAGTTTACAAGACTTTTTTATTTAATCTTTATAGGTGGATAGCGTTATTTTAAATGAAAATTAATTTCGATTACGATAACCGATTTATAAAAATTACTACAGACATTACGAATAGGTCCCAAATGAAACGATGTGGTGAAAATTGTCTAAGCTAAACTAAAGTTAATTATAGTTTACGGAGCGCGTGAATTCATCAACAAAATTTTATAGAGATTCCATTGAGCGTGCAAAATCTACGGAAAGATTTTTATTGGCTATCGGCGGAACGCTAGGATGGTTGACGCTCGGCGCTGGTTTATACCATCCTATCGCTTAGCTGGTGGTGCTTGCGTGTGGTGGGTGCAGCCCTCCACGTTCTCGGGCCAGTCGCACACGTTCTCGTTGGGGTTGAACACGAGGTTCTGGGGGCAGGGCATGTGGTGCTTCCGTTCGCCTTCGCACATGTAGTACATCGTGCAGTCCGCCTTGTCCGGGTGATAAGAGATGTGTCCGTCTTCCTCCTCGCAGACCACCTCGTTGGCTGTAAGAGACGCGATGATTAGATGGAGATTTGGCGGTGCAGCTAGGTCACGCTCATCACGTCCGTTGAACATCATGTTCGGCGAGTGAAGTAACAGTCGATCATCGTAAAGGTTAGCAACTTCCCTGTGACTCCTGTTAGCAACTTCCCTGTGACCCGCTGTTGTAAATATCCATGTGCGGCAGTCACCACTTTAAATCAGGTGAACAGCCTGTGACTTTGCAATTTTCTTTCACGCAATGAACAAACAAAGCATCCGGTTAGTCCGTAGAACAGTCAGAACGATAGTGGTCATAACAAGGAATGTATGTGAAGGTGGAGTGATGATTTATTAGTGATGTTTGTTGTATGTCCATGCACAAAGATGGTGCCGCTTTTAAACACTTACACAAGTCCGATATTTTATTATACAGTGGAGGACTTAAATGTTATGTTCCGTAGATAACTCGAATTTACAAGGTAGGTTTTATTTTTGCACATATTTAATCCATAATACAAAATTTAAAAAAAAAGCTTAAATGTTACTGTGGCTATATTAAGGCACTTACGGTTTTTCGTTGTATATTTTCCACTTGCTGGGTTAGAAGTTTCGTACGGGCCGTCGTACTCAAGCTTAACCTTGTATCCCGATAGTTCTTGCTTCATGGCAGTTATGAGTGGGTATTTGCCGGTACCGCATGTACCTCTGAAGTCATCCATGTCTATCGACCAGACCATGATGCCGCCGAAACCTTCTTCTTTCAACCAGGTCATCTGTAGTTAAAGTAACAGAAATGTATTCTAAACAATAAAATAACTATTGTCTGGGAAAATAATTTTTATTCTTATGGCTTGTAAAATATTCAAAAAATTCTCAACTGTTAAAATCATTAAAAATTAAAACTTTTTGGTACTCTTTTTTAATTTTTTGACTAATCTTCATTGTTAATATAGAAATTTAATGTCATAGTAAAACGTTCATTGACATCAAAAAGTCATTAAGCCAATACGTGAGACGAAGATTTTCGCACATACTGCGTCTAAAAATAGTAAATTTCTCTCCATATTTACCTTTGTCTTTAGCGATCTCTCATCGTCAAAGCCGACCCACTGGTCCTCTCTATACGCGAATGGCACCATTTGTTCATTATCCCAAACCAATGTAGTGTTGTCTTCTCTCAAGAAATCGCAAATTTCGTAATAAGACATGAAACCAGCTTCGTTCGTGAACTTTCCTGCTTGACCTAGGAATTGTTTTAAATGTTATTAAATTCAAAGTGGTTCTTTGGTTCACAAATTAGGTTTGTAAAGTCAAAGTAAAAAAAGTAAAGAAACAGCCTAAACATGTTCCACTGCTGGGCAAAGGCCTCCTCTATACAGAGGGTATCAGGGCTGTAAAGTCAGTCATACAATAATTATTGGCAAATTTATTTTCGGTTAAAGAATTATATTATTTTATATTAATTACTTTTAAATATTTATCTTAATGAAATTCTAGCATATGACAAGTCGAAAGGCGTATAATTTTTATCAGTATTTCGTAGATGTTTATGACATATAAACTATTGACATGTATTCATCAGGATTCAATTCGGAAATAGTTTAGAAGAAAATATTGTCTGAGTATAAAACATTCTATGTATATGCAAAATTTACTGTTTTAAATACCGATGCTTAAATATAGAATAGCTTTCACAGGACATATATAGGCTGTTACTTTTCTTTTTTCTTACAGCAAGCATCAATATGTACCGCTAAAAACATCACACATACGGTTCCAAAAATACAACATGATGACTTATTTTTGTGTTCGATTTTTATATCATTATATTTAAGATTTTTATTTATTTAAAGACACTTTATTTATACTTAAGTAATATACTTAGTTACGCTTTACTACTTATTTTTACGCTTTATTGCAAACTATTTTAATAAGAGTTACAAGATAATCCCTCCCAGTAGCAAATAAACTCAGGGCGCGAAATAAATTGTTACAGTAAACGTATCTCACAAATCGCTTATAATATGTGCACATAATTTATCTCACCTCCACCGGAGGCTGGGGCGCCGATGTCGAATTGAGTTTCGTTTATCAAGGTGAATGACCTGCCATACGTGGGCATGCCTATCATCAGTTTCTCTTTAGGTGCACCCTGACGCACCCATTCTCGGGCAGAGTAATCCTGGAAATTCATGACACTATGTTAAGAGAACATTAAAACGAGGCGATGAAGGTATTATTGATCTTAAGAAAAAGTATCATATGAATGCTTATGCCATGAGTAATTAGGATTCGTTGCGTAGAGCACTTTCATAAAAGTTGTCAACGCATCTGCAAGCAATCGGGTGTTGTAGATGTCGTTAGGTGTTCAAGTTTCTTAGTATCGGGGGAGGAATCTCCAAAAGATTAACTGTGGTAGGGCCACGCAGCAGCCTCGGCTATTGTACGAATGCAGGCCCGTCCGGGTAAGTACCACGACCACACAGAAGACCAGCGTAAACTGGAAGTGTCGCTTGAAAACTTAACACATAAAAAAAGTTATCACCCTTTTAAAAAACGGGGCACTATGTGATGGACTATTCGTCATAGCTCCATTTCCCACAATTATTGTCAAGGCTAATATAAGCTTCTTTTTATATGTAATTAAAATTAATACTATACTACGTATCGTACCACTGTGAGCTTCTTTTGATAGCTGGTCGCACTCTCGAGAGGGAAGAGGGGGCTGTTGTGACCCACTTGCCTTTCCCACTGACCGTGGAAGTCGTAAGTCATGACGTTGATGAAATCCTAAAAATGAATACGTCACAATGTTATTCATTTTTCGTGTTATTAGGAGCCCATTTTGCAAAGAGTATTATTAAACTACTGGAACTGAATTTCGAGGAAGCCTGCTTTGTTAACACTTCGAGGAAGACACTTTAGAGGTTGTAAACTAAAGTGACATGACCTCTTTGTGTCAAACTTTCCATTGTTACTTTGAAATTCAGATTCGATGGGTTTTACCCGTCAGGTACATAACTTGCAGTAATTATAAAAACGTTACCAGGTATTTTGAGATCTCGGGTACATCGTATCCAGCGGCGATCGCTTCGAAAGATGCTGGCACGGCGGCTGTCAACAGAAGTCGTGGCTGTCCCGATGTTTTGGCTTCTCCTTCGAATGCTAGTCGAAGTTCTTTAAGCAAGGACGCGAAGGCAGCACGATCATCCGCTCCTCTGTAAGTAACATTAAAATAATAAATAACTAAATGTATCGTTAAAATAGCAAGACGGACACGCAATCAAACATTATTTCAGTGATACAAAAGGATAAAACACTTTGATTAATAGAATCCCACTTTCTTTTGAATGTTGGCAACGACGGCATTCATCCGAAAATAAAAACTTAACGTGATTATTCTGTTGATTTTAATTATAAAGAGTATTACATATTCTATTTTCTTGTTCAAAGTTTACACATTGTATTCTGTATATAGTAGTTCTTGAAACAATTCATTATATAATTTCCTAGCCAGATACTAACTTTTGTATAAAAGGTAAATGAAGGCCAGATTAAAAAAAAAAATAAGTTATTGTTTAGAAAGTAAAATGTTTACCTCGGGTACTCCCAGTCGATATCAAGACCGTTGAATTGGTAGTCCCTTAAGAATTCAATAGCTTCATAAACGAATTGATTCATACGGAATACATTCGAAGTGAGTTCTTTAAATGGAGTTGAACCAAACGCCCAACCACCAATTGCCAGGAGGATCTGGAACAAATATTCAAAATAATAAATTAGTGTACTAAAAAGTTTATGAATAAAAAAATGTAGAAAATATTAATAAAAGATCACAAGCCATCATGATGGAATTTCGCGGGAGCGTCTTACCTTCAAGTTAGGATTCTTTTCCCTTAAAGCCACGACCTTATCGTACATGTCTGCGTCTTTTTCATCGGACTCGGCGAGTTTGTGATCTTTAAGTGTCGCGAACGCGTAGATGACGTGGGTGCAGAGAGTTGGGTCCACGTTTTCCGGCATGAAGCGCCCACCACTAGGCCTCTTGGACGACCAGGACGTCAAGTAGCAAAGAACTTGGGGTTCACGTTCTATGGAGGGAGAAAACATTTATTAGAAGGAGAGAAGAAAAAAGAAAATAACACCTAAATGAGAATAACAGCGGAATTCAGAATAATTAAAGTACCTAGTATAAAACAAAGTCGTCCCGCTGTCTGTCTGTCCCTATGTATGCTTAGATCTTTAAAACTACGCAACGGATCTTGATGTGTTTTTTTTTTTTACTAGATAGAGTGATTCACGAGGTTAAACTTCCTCGTGGATTAATTTTTCTAGCAAGTATGACTAGCGGGTCGTAGAATAAAATAATCACCAAAACAATCAATAAAACGCAAAAGAATCACCCAAAGGAAAATCGGAATCCGGATATTTATTGATGAAATAACCTATGGAATTTAAAACTATGATGTCTGATCGCCAGTTGACACTCGTAAACTAAATTTATTTATTCAGCTTATAAGCAATTCTATTAAATCGCACGCAAGTTTATATACACTTTGTTATTTATAACTTGGAGGTTTTCAGTATTTCTTTCCAGTACTCCTTAAGATTTATGGTGTTTAGTGCGGTTGTATTATTTAAACAGAAACGATTTTAGCACCATAAATTTCTATGTTGCGATAGATTTCGAAACATGAAAATCAACACAATTGGCACAAAAACTGTTTATGGATCACAAAATTAGTTGTATCCGTGTGGGAATCGGACTTGAAACACAGTGCGTATAAGCTTTGAGAGCTCTACGATTGAGCAACGCAGTCGATGCTGTTTAAAATAAAGTTAATAATCACACTTATCATCGGGGTTAAACATTTTTTTTTAATTTTCATTTTTATATGTGGTAGGGCCACGCAGCAGTCTCGGCTGTTGCACGAATGGGCAGGCTCGTCCGGGTAAGTACCACGACCTCACAGAAGACCGGCGTAAAATGGAAGTATATTACTTTCACGTTTCGTCTGGCGAGTGAGGTGGCCGGAGCCCAATTTTCAAAAGGTTGTCAACGCATCTGGAACCCTCTGGCGTAGATGTCCGTGGGCGGCAGTATTCACTTAACATCAGGTGAACCGTCTGCTCGTTTGGAAACTTTTCACACAAAAAAAATATGATTTGGATAAAACTTTATTTGGATAAATAATTAATTATTAAATTGAAATGTTAAGTTATATATTTCCAATCGTGTTCATGGGTTCGATTTTAGCCTGAACCAAGTATGCAAAACCCGAACATCGTTTAGAATTTTCGTTTTTGTATAATTTGTGACAAGTTGATAAACTTAGGGGGGTAATGTTTTTCAAAAACGAGAACTAATCATTCTAGTGACGAAACTCGCCTTCGAGCTACATACATATTAATGACTTTAAGAAAGTGTACATAGCTTTATAATATTGAAGTCGATAAGTAATGAAGTTATATAAACTTTCAAATTAAATTATACTCTCAGTTGTTTTTGGTTGTTATAATTTTATTATTTATTGATATGTACCATTATTATTTTAACATAACCTGTCATTTTATTATAGTAACACTGTAATTAAATGATAGGTTTATTATGTCTAACGTCACAAGCATTAAAAACTTCTTAGAGAGTAGGAAGAGTTATGTAAGGTATGAAATGACGAATGGAAAGTTTGACAATAATCATCACTAATCATCTGTGTATCGCAAATTGGCGTGGTAAAAGTCTAGTGAAAGCATCAACATGTGATTTTCGAGAAGTGGTTTTCGGAAATTCTTGGATTCTAAGTACATTTAAATTGTTACAGAAATACTTGCGATGTTTTCTTTCAACATGTCTATATTTTTCTTATTCTTCTGAATGATTGAACATAATTTAAAGCATGTTGCACTTTTGATGATAAATTATAAATTTATATTCATCAAAGGTAATAATTAGATTTTTTAATTTATTATTTTAATTAGGTAATTTTTTTTGTAACAATAATAGTAAGCCTTGAAGTTTTACCTTGACTTAATTACGTTCTTTTAGAAAAAAGTTTATATAAAAAGTATATTACTGTCTGTCTGTCACATTCTCATGCATTTGAATAGTTTAAAAGTTAGCAGGCTAATTATTATAAATAAGCTATTTTGATTCCAGCAAGAAGAGATAAAATAAATACTGTGGTATTGGCTAATTGATAATGGTTTATTTATAGTTAACATGAAGTAAAGGCTGGCAAAATATAGCTTGAGAAAAAAAAATATAGCAAAAGACAGTTGTTCACTTTTCCGAGTAAGACGACTCAATTAAATGCGTGTAAGAGTTTTAAGTTCGGGAAACCTTTGTTATGATTACACTGCATAAGAAAATCTCCATTCTAGCGAATCTATCAGTCTACTAATACTTTTAATACTTCTTATACTCGTACCAGATGGATATAATTATGTTTCATTTTGTTTTCTTAATATTATTGTTAAGGGCATTAATATTAATAGTTAATATATCTAATATATAAAATTCTCGTGTCACAGTTTTCGTTGCCATACTCCTCCGAAACGGCTTGACCGATTTTGATTAAATTTTTTGTGCTTATCCGGTATCTATGAGAATCGGCCAACATCTATTTTTCATCCCCCTAAATGTTAGGGGTAGTCCACCCCTAAATTTTTTTTTTTATTTTTTAGACAAAATTTTTAATTTCTATTTTTTTATGATACAACATACAAAAATACATACAACACTCAATTTTCACCCCGCTACGCAGACGTAGTCGCGGGCAGCAGCTAGTTGTCTATAAAATATTCTATAAGTTTAATTAGTACTTGAGTTAACAGTAAACAACGATTTTATAACTCCGTGGCGCCGTTGCCAAGGTATTGGCTTCGATGCCGCGGTCGTGGGTTCGATTTCCCACACGGGACATCTATATGTGTGACCGTCGGATGTAAAACGTCATATGCCGATGTTTTTAAAAAAGAGAAAAAAAAAAACCGTAAAATACTTACTATTCTTATCAGCTACAGCGGAATTGGCATTTTTGACTATGATCGTCTTGGTCGGTTTCTTTACTCGGCTGAGCACGTCGGACAGGCTTATCTTAATTGGTTCAGGCTTCTCGGTTTCTTCAATTACTACGCTCTCGGCAACGGACGCCCAGTCGACGTCCTTCGCGTCCTTTCCACGGGAAATTCCACGGAGTTCCTCACTGCGTTTCGGAAAAGGGATTATTTTTGTGAGAGCGTGGCAAACGAGCTGGCGGCTCCCCCGATGTTAAGTGATATCCGCCGCCCGTAGGGTAGCAGATGCGTTGCTACCTTTTGATAAAGTGGGCCCCGGCTACCTCACTCATCAGGCGAAACGCACAAGTGTCACATTTCCACTTAACGCCGGTCTTCTCGGAGGTCGTGCTACTTACCCGGACGGACCTGTCCATCTGTGTAACAGAGAAGACTGTTTTGTGGCCCTACCACAGTAAAAACTATCATGTACTAGTTATATAAAAACCACTTACCGCATGGCACCTATTAGTGGGTATTTCACGTCCCCGCCACAAACGCCACCACTGAAGTCATCCATGTCTACTGTCCATACCATGGCACCTCCAAAACCGTTGTCCTTAATCCACCTGGGTAACAAAAAAGTAATAACCGTATAATAGCAATTCGTATTTTTTGAACAGGTGGGCTTTATAGAAGTTGGTGACACCATTAGTACGTTTCTTTCTCTGGAAACATTTCCAAAACTATTAATTTGTTCCAAAAGTTCACTTGTTAATGACCTCATGTTGTCTCTGTATACTATAAAGTGCAGTTTGAAATTTCAGAGCAAAATATTGTAGAGCTGCAAGCAATTTTTTCGATCCATAAATACAAAAGCTGTTGATTTGACAAAGGCTCAAACAAAAAGTCAATCAAGCGGATTTTGCCGCGATCAAAGCTTGTATGCGCGCAAAGGTTAACCCCGTGCGTTTGTACGTAGCAAATATTTGTTGTTAGTTGTTTGAAAGCTTGATTGCTTGTCACCTGAAAATTGAGCAAAGCGAGACTCCAATTGCGTAGTTCAATTTTTAACTCGCTAACAAAATGTCTTTTTAAGTTGGACATAACTTTTGTTTCATTTGAGTGAAATTATTAAGATAAAGTTTTTATTCATTCTATATGTGCACTATAAGCTCAACGAGCTCTTTGAATCAAATTGAAATGCATATCAAATTTATAACCGGTATAATAAAAAATGATGACATTAAGATTTTTTGATGTATTGACGCCTCTGTTGGCGCAGCAGGTAGATCATATTTTCGCTGTCAGTGTTTTTTTTTTTTTTTTTATGCGAAAAGTTGTCAAACGAGCAGACGGTTTACCTGATGTTAAGTAAATACCGCCGCCCATGGACATCTGCCACACCCGAGGGTTACAGATGCGTTGACAACCTTTTGAAAATTGGGCTCCGGCTACCTCACTCACCAGACGAAACGCGAAAGTATTTGTCATACTGTCACTTTACGCTGGTCTTCTGTGAGGTCGTGGTACTTACCCGGACGGGCCTGCCCATTCGTGCAACAGCCGAGGCTGCTGCGTGGCCCTACCACCGTGTGTTCTATTCTCACCCAATACAAGACTTAGAGACAATTGTTTCGAATTAAGGTATATTTGGAAGTGAGATTTGTCGAGCGAGTTGCGATTACATAATTTGTAAATGTAAAACGCCTCTACAACCTAAGACTATCTCATCCTGCAGTAGCGGTTGTTAAAAACAAATTACCTCATCTTGTTTCTGATTGATTTCTCATCATCGAAGCCGACCCACTGATCACCTTGAATGGCGTAAGGTACTTTCATTTCGTCATCCCAAACGTAGGCACCACCATTTCGCAGCATCTCGCATACCTGTAATAAATATTTAGATTCCATTACCAGTGACTAAGTCGCGAAATAGATTAAAAAATTTAAACGCTAGTTTCAAAAATTGTTAGATACATTATTTCATCGTAACCCTCAAGCCAATATTATGATATCTAATTAGTATACAGTTAGCTATTTAAATTTCTGTACAAATACAAAAAAAGCCACTATTTTCCTATTCATACGAGCCCAAATAACACTAAGGGCACATTTGCTGAGTACGCGCGATAAATGCGAACGGAAATTCAAAAGCGCGAATGCTCAAAAGGGTTGTGATTATTATGCCAAAGACCAATGAAATACGTCCAACTCGCTCATTAATATTTGATGAAGCAAATGAAATAAGCTATAAGATTTCACAAAGAAGATTTTTTAATTAAAATTACCTCGTAATAGGCAAGGAAGCCGCTCTCCTTTGTGTACTCGCCTGCCTTGCCGCCCCCACTCGCTGGAGAATTTACTTTGAAGTTGTTTGTGTTCGAGAGAGTGAAGGTCCGTCCGTAAGTTGGCATACCTGAAATTTGATTGCGTCTCAGAGCCCTAGAACGCTTCTCATTCAAGTGCTTGAGTGACATTGTACATAAAACGCTACTCACTGCACTTCTTAGTAATTGAACCACGAACTGAGGACTATACAACCTTAAATAATGAATATTTCCGCTGCTGTATTATACAACTCAGTTGATATTTATTGTTGCATTACTAGTAAGTTTTCTTAAGACACTCAAGACTCAAACAACTCAACATAAGTTATGATGCCGGCGATTTTAAATCGTGGTAGGACCACGCAGCAAAGGCTGCTGTGTGGCCATGGTTAAAAACAAATGGGCAGGTGCATCTGGGGAAGTGCAACGACTATACTTATACTATACTTTTGGGTTTCATTCGGTAAGTGAGGTAACCGTGCCCACTTTATTAAAAGTTGGCAACTCATCTGAAACTCCACGGTGTAGCAGATATCCATGGGCGGCAATATCGCTTAATAACAGGTGAATCGACAATTATCTTGTCACCTTCTCATATCTTCTAATATATAAAATTCTTGTGTCACGGTGTTTGTAATTGAACTCCTCCGAAACGGCTCGACCGATTTTTGTGAAATTTTGTGTGCATAACGGCCAGGATGGAGAATCGGACATCTATTTTCCATCCCCCTAAATGTTAAGGGTGGTCCACCCCAATATATTTTTCTACCCTACAAATTCCTTAGCAATAATTTATACGGCTAGACAACGTTTGCCGGGTCAGCTAGTTTTATATAAAAAGAGATTTTACCAATGATAAGCTTTTCTTTTGGAGCACCCAGCTTGACCCAGAGGTGTGCAGCGTGGTCTACGGACAGTTGCTTTCGCCATTCGGAGTCAGAAGATGGGGCGTACAATGGAGCATTGTGTCCCGTTTCCCTCTCCCATTTTCCGTGGAAGTCGTATGCCATAACGTTGATGAAGTCCAAGTAGCTAAGAAAAGAACGTAAACTAAAGTAACAGTCTATATACGTCCAACTGCTGGGCAAAGGCCTCCTCTGTACACAAGGTATCATAGCATAGTCTTCCACGTAACCCCTTTGTGGATTGGCGGACTTTGGAAATAATAATAATTTTTTATTGTTATTATTTCGAAAATATGTAGGTTTCTTCACGATGTTTTCCTTCACCGTTGAGTACGTGATAAATCGGCACTTAAAATTAACAATTTCGTTATTGTCGGCACCAGGGATTGCTCCATTATATTGAATTAAAAGCGAGTCCGTGAGCTATCACGGCTCTTAATTATAAGTTGTTAAGAAATAATAATAATATCCAATAGCAAATTGTTGCGTTTATATTTTTTATGAATAAAAACATTTGGAAAAAACCCATCAGAATAGCTTATTATAATTCGTACGGAAAATTTGCATATCGTTACTTAAAATTTAAATATGAAAGTCAATGTAAATTCTAAATGGGAATAATTTAGTTTATCGTACTTCAACGCGCATTTAAGATTCAAAATAGTTTAGTTTATATTAGAGATGCTGTAATGAATGAAAGTAGAAGCGGCGTTATAAATATAATCTTATTACCATTTTGTCAAAATATTTACTAATGTAATACTGTCTCAATTTTGTCTAAATCATACATTTTATAAAGCTTTCAGATGTTATTAGGATTCTGTACCCAAAGGGAAAAACGAGACTGATACTACTACTTCGCTGTCTGTCTGTCTGCCCGTCGGTCACCAGGCTGTATTTCATGAACCGTAATAGTCACACAGTTGAAATGTGCACATGTATGTTTTTCCGTTGCCGCTATAAACGCAAATACAAAAAAAAAATACTGGGGCTCCCATATAACAGACATGACTTTTTTTTTACCATTTTTATAGATAATGTGCGCGAATAGTTCGCGAGTCCAACTCGCACTTGTAAAAATACGTATCGAGACGATAGTCTCTTTAACTTATCGTTACCTTTGGGACTCTTTTCTCTTGCGCAGTGTTTAAATGTCCCTTGCTAAAATTTCACTCTTACCTCGCCACAGCGGGTACGTCGTAACCACTCTTAATGTTGTCAGGACCAACTGGAACAGCCGCAGTAAGCAAAAGTCGTGGCTTCTTCACTTCTTGAGCTTCAGCCTCGAATGCTTCGCGGAGCTCTGGAAAAAATATCATCAATCATGATCATCATCATTTCAGCCTGTTTGAGTGCACTGCTTAACATAGGCCTCCCATAGACTGCCATGAAGTACGATCCTGAGCCACCAGAAAAATATCATAAAATGATCTTTTTAATACCACAGCTAAAATATTTAAAGTTAAAGTTAACAATTGTCTGAAAAATATTTTAAAACATGCTTAGTTGTAGATCCCTGGTGTCTGCAGTAGGTATTGAAATACCCGTAAGGCAGAATTCATCAGGTCACTACCCTTTCGAATGTTTTAATACACAACTAAATAGCTTGTAACACTTACACGATATAAAATAGGTATCTAACAAATTTGACAATACTACTAACAAAATTAATAGCTGAGAAATAATTAATTATCATATATTAACAATTAATTATTAATAATTATCTATTGGAGTGAATACTGAGCATAATGACCACTTGTTCTCAAAACTTTTATGACCTGATAGAAGCATTTTATATGAAAGATCAACGATGGCCATGTAAACCAGACGATTCACTGCCTTTTGAAATATGTTTCAAATTCAGAGATGAAAAAAACATTCAATATCATACAGAACTGTTTCATATATTCTAATTACAGTCTATTAGATATGTATGGAATGTTATTTAATTTGATTAATGAATGGTATTAATTGTCTAGTATTAAGTATGTATTTAATGTATATCTTTTTTCATAAATCATTACGATGTATAAGAGGCTAGAAGCTAAGTGTTAGAAAACAAAGAAATGACAAAAACAACTGCCGGTTACATACAAAAGAAAAAGCAGTTCTGCGCTTGACATGAATATAATTTATTAGACGGATCTACATATTTCGGGCGTCGTGCGGTTTCTTTCTGCCTGATGCGATGTTTTGTTGATGCGAATATAATTGGAATCGACTAAACCAGGCAACGATTTATAGGTCAAATCGTTTATCGTGAGGTATTTTAGAAAGGTTTCATCGACTGTAAATGTAGCAAGGACAATAATATCAGCTGCAGAATGCCAAGCAGAATAATACTGGTTTAAATTCTCACGACCGTCTACCGTATCGTTGACCCGATTGGTCTAGTGGGTAAAGAACCTGTCTCTTACGCCAGAGGGTGTGGGTTTGATCCCCACTACTGGAAAAATATTATGCGATGTACATGTCTTGTTGATGTACAGTGTTTTTCCGGTGTCTGGGTGTTTTTACATTTATTTATTTAAAAAAAATATAAGTACGTTTATCAGTTATCTGTTACCCTTAGTACAAGCGTTGCTTATTTTGGGAATAGAGAACGTTGTGTAAAACGTGTTCAGAGTTATATATTTATTGAGATATACAACTAACTAATTACTAACTAGCTTATTTATAACAACGTGACATTGATCGATTTAAATCATAGCAATAATTTACGGTCAGAATCAAAAAGGTTCCAATTGATCGAAAAGATGATTTAAGACTTAAGCCTCGTGATTTTTATGAGGCGCTTATTATAAGGGTATTACTGATTCATTGCATTCGAAAAGAAAATATCAAAGTCAAAGGTAGATGAACAAATACGCAGAAATATTTTTTGTCGTGCTAATGTATATAAACTTATAAAGCAACACATCTCCGTACTATCTTAAAAATGTTAATTTGATAAATATGCAATTTTATTTAAACACTATATACATGGCTTAGAATCATCAGCATGGTATTTAGAATTGTATTGTATTGCTGAAAGCCCGGCCACGCTCCATATTGAATTGAATTGTTGACAATCATTTCAAATATTTAAATATCCCACAGTGCAACTCGAGAAGCCAATAAACTAAAAGTGAACGGTTAGTTGCAGCCATCTCATTCGTGAACTCAATAATAGGATTGAGAATAGGATATTTTCGCATTCTGAAATGGAATTCTAAGGCTAGATTTAAGGCGTGTTGCATTGATTACGCACGTTAACAGTAACGATAAAGTGAAGCGTATTGGTGAATGACAAAATAGCATTTTCCGATGTTCACGTTCAGTTATCAATTGTATTAAAAAACATTGTCCTTACTGGTAGGATTATCTTGTGCCGTAAGAACGATTATTTTTACGATATAAGGAAGTTTACATCAAGACGTCGTTTTACATAAAAAAACATACAGATTCTGTATGATTATGTATAGGTCACCTACATGTTTGCCCTGTGTGATAGTGGAAACTAAATAAAATGTCGTTCATATATTCACATGAATTTCGTCTCGTTCTGTATCCCCTATATATTTTACAAAAGTACACTCTTAGCAAAAGCCCAGCTGACGTGGCTGTGTTTATGCATTAGTCGGTCAGACAATCAGATTATTCCTTTATGCAATATACGTTCTTATACCACACGTCCGGATGAAATGACATCAAACGGGAGATATTGAACTTAATATATCGCATAAATACGCTCATTGTGGCAAACATTTCGTGCAGCGTGCCCAGGAAGGTATATTGTAGCATTGATTTATAGCGCCCGAATGACACGTCACTTTAATATCTGCGAGAGATTTTTTGAAGTTTGATATTAGACAGTAAATTGTGTGACTTGTCTTTTAGATGACGTGAGCGATATTTCAAATACTCAACACAATAAAATTTTAAAAGATTTACTTAGTTCTTTTTTTGGACAATGCTGTCGAGCACGCTGGCGTTAGATCTGATGTGAAGTGTTTATTACCTACCCGGACATTGACAACGTCTGAGGGCTTGCAGATGCGTTGACATACTTCAAAAAAGTTTTTTAATTGAATTGATTGTCAAAAGCACGTGTCGGTTATCACATAAGTGGGTTATAATTATGTACTTAGTGGTGATGTCGGCGGTCTTTAAACTAACGAAAGGAAGATTTATTCTTGCTGTAGAGTTTTGATGTATATGTTAGAGGTCGCAATAAAGTCTAAAGAGGCCGTATATAAAACGTAAACGTAGCAAATGGCTAATCCCTTATTCAATTTGAGTACATCGTAAAATTTAAATGGACACCGATAACAGCCTTTTTGCGTATAACTCACGTTCAGTTAACGTTACTATCGGATCACGATTTTCGAGATAAATGTAAATGATAATGGTAACGCGTGTTTCGCCCTTTTCTATGACACAGGTTCATGCAATATTAATACTGCCGTCCGTATATATCTGCGATGCTCGGACCAGCCTGGCTCCCCGCCAAAATTTGGGGTTTTCACCCGGCACCGGCTTCTGTTATTCAAATGCGAACGAACAGTTAGGAAGTCTGCTTTGAATGCATTTCGAACTTTCGAAAGCTTCGTCCGCCTGTTAGTTAGTAAGATTTTTTTAAATGTTATCATTCATTAAAATTGATTAAATACTCTTATTAGAGAGCCGTGATAGCTCAGTGTCCGGGCGCTCGGCTTTAATTCAATATACTCGAGCAACCTGAGTTCGATCCCCGGTGCCGGCACCAATGAAATTTTAACTTTAAGTGCTGTCTTATCGCGTGCTCCGCAGTGAAGGAAAACATCGTGAGGAAACCTGCATATTTTCGAAATAATAACAAAAAAAAATATTTCAAAGATATGTGAAGTCCGCCAATCCGCAGTGGGGCCGCGTGGTGGACTATGCCCTGATACCCACTATATAGAGGAGGCCTTTGCCCAGCAGTGGGACATGTATAGGCTGTTACTGTACTTTAATTAATTTTGTACGATTTTAATCCGAATAGACATTATTTATTTCCGCCAGATAAGGTTTAATAGTAAGAAACAAAAATTTATTCACGAATGTGAAATAAGCATATTTAGGGATTGGATATTTTAAATTTTGTTTAATCTTAATTGCAGCGATTAGAACTATAAAATTTTTAATAACAGAATGATTATCAATTAATTCCGTGAAACTTTTCCGCTAGTTAGTTACTTTCTAATGCTATATCTAATTTACTAATGTTATATAACATTTTTGCTCTATTTTTCCGCAGAGGTTTCCAATAAATATTGTGAAAATAAACCGGGTTCAATTATTATTGTAATTGTGTTTTTTCATAAAATTCTTCTCGTTTAATGAATTTAACAGTATTGTATTGAAAAGTATTGATTTTATATTCTGTAATCGTAGCCTTAACATGAACATTATTATTGGTCTTCTTAAATTGATTTCCTGTTTAATGTTAAGGTACTTGTCAGTCTAAAAAATTAAAGCTTTCACGAGTGTATAAGATGTATAAGACAATCTGCAAAAACTTTATACGACATTTCGATATTATGAGATCACGATTACATTATTAAGGTAAAAAAAAAACCAATGTACCCACATCTAACATCACCTCGCTAAAATGTCAAGGACGAGTTGCATATCGACGAGTCAGTTCCTTAAAATAGTAAACTCAGTATTGTAGGTCACAGAAATATTGTCTTACTGCATTTTAAGTATAATTTAAATACGATACACATTTTTTATTACTAAATTCTGCACTTAGGATGAACCATTAAAATTTGTAGAGAAAAGGATTTGCACCCAGACGCTTTAACCATTGAGCTAAACTGCTGATTGCTACATCGACTAAGATTTCAAAGTCCTTTATTTAAATTGTTTTTACGCATTCTACGCACATATCTACATTATTTTTATGCATTTTAAGCAATGCTTGGTGCAAATTTAAATACGATAAACACGTTCAACATTTTCCTATTGTGTTTAGTATGCTTTGCTTCTGAGATGTGTCCTCTCAGAAGCAAAGCATACGAAAATTCTGGGTTCGACTCATCACTAGCACTGATATCTTAAATACGATTGATTCCTGACCGTAACTACCATAACAGTTTAACGGATATTTATAACATTTTAATATATACGCCAAATACATAAATAAATTATCAAACAAAAATTCCTTCAGCACTCTATTTATATATATTCTGTGGTAGGGTCATGCAACACCGTTCACAGTTGCACGAATAGGCAGGTCCGTACGGGTAAGTGCCACGAAGACCCACGACCTCACAGAAGACCGGCATAAAGTAGAAG